ACAATAGAAAAATGGTAAATATATCGGTTGTTACACTGAAAAGAAACAACAGGCGTTATGAACTAGCTGTGTATCCAAATAAATTGTATGAATTCCACAATAACTCTAATATTGATTTATCAACCATTTTACATACTTTTGATATTTATTGTAACATTGCAATAGGAGAAAAAGCATCTTGGGATAGTCTTGAGGACTTAAAAAACGAAATGAAATCACAGAATGCCATATACAAGAAAGGGTCATTTCTGCAAGCTTCATCTAAAGCTCAAGAGATGCATAATACACAATTTGAAAAAAATTTTATAAAGTGTAGCGAAGCTGAGCATTTGGGTTTAATTAAATATATCCTCAAAAATGGTCATGAAAGAAAACATTTAGAAACAAAGACATATGAACTTCAACAAATAGAAAAATCTATAATTGATATAATTCAGCATAAAGTAAAATATAATGGAAATTTTTTGAACAAAGAACTACTATTAAGATACGTTAAATCTGTTTGGAGAATTAATTTAACAGAGCCAAAGAAACAAGTTGGAGGAATTATTAAAAATCTTGAAGAAATTGGATTTGAGAGAATTTCTTATAAAATCCGTGTTAGTAAGAGCAATATTCCCATTTTAAATGAACTCTTTTCGAAGTACGGTACCAAATATTTGTCTGATTTTGATTCTGTCATTGTAGATGATGATTTTGTCCTAATCAAAAGTGATATTCTTCCAGACTTCGTTAATTATTGCAATCAGAACAATATTAAATTTGTAATAATGAAAGACATCGAAGAAGAATCTGAAGATATTTGCTAAAATATTAATGTATTTATAGCTTTTGATTGTTTTCACCCAATTTTATAAATAATTTGCAGAAAATCCATTTCTAATTACTGCTTCTTTAAACATCATTGCATATATTGCCAAAAGATTAAATTTTTATTGTTTCAAAATTGGCTTAAATTTAAATCGTTAATTAATTACTTTTAGTCTATTGAATCAATTAAAAAATATAAATTTAATTAGCACTTAAGCAAAAGTATATCATCATTTGAATTTATTCTAAATCTTGGATAACTTCTCGGCTGAAACCTCACAAAACTCTCTATGAGCTTTTGCTAGTCTTACTATCAAACCGTTAATAACTGATTGTCCAATAAAATCATCCATTGCTTTCATTGTACTTTTGGAATGGGTATCTAATTTTGATTCGAGTCTCTCCCTTACATCGTCTTTATGAATATTATCCTGTTGCATTTCCTCTAAATCATATCTAGTATCAGATACTGTTTTCCTTTGCATATCAATTTGTTTTGACTTCTTCTTTAATAATCCTAACTCTTGTATAATATCCGATAACTTCTCATTCATTGTTCTCTTTGCTTGGGCAATATTTTCATAGGCACTAGCGAAGTTATTACAAACTTCCTTCAACTTCTTATCAGACACAGAATTTCCCAGCTGCATACCGACGAATGAAGTGTCAGTATAGATATCATCTTTCTTTAAATATTTTATCTTCGCTGATTCTGCTATCATTGATGACCAATGCGAGAAGTTCTTTAATATGGTTCCTCCATATTCATAGTTTGATAAACTCTTAACAACAGCTTCAAGAAACTCGATTTGATCTCTTACTTTCTTATATTGATCGTTTATTTTTTCATAATTCTCAGGCAGCTTGGTATTTATATAATCTAGCTTTTTTATTTTTCTTTGTACATACCTCTTTGCATCATTAATCATTCAGGGGAGGAGCAAAGAAAAATTTAAAATGTAATGTAACAAATCATATTCAAAGGATAAAAGGAGAAATATATTTTTATAAGTAAATCATCCATTGGTAATGTAGTTAAGGGTAATTGGCAATGTTTTAAGAAGGAGAGCATAGCTTATGATAAACTAAATATCACTAAACAAAGATTTGTGCTAAAACACTTTATTTATTAGGTACTTTTATTAAATTAATAGCCACATAAAAAGCAATAACTCAGAATTACTGAATTCTTTAAAAAATAAGTAATTGCTAATATATATAGCAAAAGATTCTCCCTAATCACATTAAGAATAGATTTTTTAATGATTATTGGTATATTATTTGAAACCTAAACTAATTGCAATAGATATACTAGTTAAAGTTATTTTTCACAATATTGTACAAGTTCTGAAATTTTCTTTGTTCAACTCTTATTATCAAAACATCACTTTTCAAGAGATTTAAAATATCTCATGAAATTTACCAATTGATATCAAAACTCTTCTTTTTTCCAGTTTTATATTCTCTTGAGGGAAACGAGATATACTCTGTTCCTTCTGTTACAAAATATAGTTCTTGAGAAATTTTTTTTAATTCAGTATTTTGATTCCAACTTTTGCTATCTAATTTTTCAGATTTTGAAACTTTTATTTGAGCAGGACCAAAAAAACAACCATTTTTACAAATTCTAAGTATATGCGAGCTTCTAATAGACTCAGGATTCTTACTATACATTTTTAACATCGTCATGCATTGTTCTAAACCACTTATCATATAGTTTGATTTTGTGTGAGGTACTATTGCTTTAGAAGGGGTAGTATCATTGTTTTCTGTTTCACACTGGACACTAATCTCTGGAACCAAATGCATTAATTCCAATTTATTGAACTCCATTGTAACTGCGGGGTCTTCTATATTACTACTACCTATATTATACTGCTTTTTGATTTTCAACAGACCATCAGTAATATTGTTTGCATTCTGCACTTCGATAATTTTTTTAATTAATTCATCAGAATCTATGACTTCCCAGAAATCTTGAGTACCTACAAAAAATATATCGCTATTCATTATTTCATATTTTTTATCATAGCATTGGCTTATTACAATTATTTTTCTTTTAGATGACATACTTTGGTTTGTGTTATCCATAGAATTAATTGATTTGCTTTCTGTATCAGCATCGTTAATGGCCCATTTTATTGCCATTTGCAAAGGTGTTGGAGCTTTATTCAAAAACCTTACCAATTTT